ACTACCACTCTACCACTCTCTTGCTTCTATAAATAGAGATGGTGTGAGGCCTAGGAGAGCAAGGGGAAGAGATCTCAAGCTACCACAAAAGAAGAGAGAATAACTATAGAGTTAGAGAGGAGGAGAGCATCTTGAGGCCTTGTATCAAGGTGTCGCTTGAGAGGGAGGCCATAGAAGGAAGATGAGGGCTCATCTCTATGTATAAGCTATGTATTCTCCATTTCTTTTATCTTAGTGAAATATTTGATTGATTCCCTCCCGTGGATGTAGATCCAGTTGGATCGAACCACGTAAACGATCTGTGTTTGCTTGTGTTCCTTTTTTGTCTCATTTCTATGTCAGGAAGTACATATCTCACAACATAAGGTGAAGCCGAAGAGCAGGGTTGTAAGTCGTGACGGAAGGCGGTGAGTAGCGGGCGAAGATGGAATCAGCTTGAAGATGACGACGATCGATTCCCGAAGGCTAGGGAAGACGACGAAAGATTCAGAACTGAAGGATTTGACGCAGCTCCCATACCATGTTAATGTTTTTGAGCAAATAAGCTAAATGTCTTTTTCCTTTGCTTTCATTACAATAAATAATAGTATGTACAGTCTCATTTAGGTAACTTAATAAATATTCCTAATCTAAATAAGGAGAGAATATTTACAATTGAAAGAGATAAATCAGAAGTGAGAAATTTGGAAATAATTTAAATAAGAAAGCTCTTAATTATAGAAAATTTCTAGTTCAGCTGCTTGATTTCTGTGATTCTTGATTGATACTTACCAATATCGACCTAAAATATTCAAGCTCGTCATTTATCATCTTTAAGCACTGTATGAAGAGGTGGTTGTTTGTGCTGATTTCTCTCACCAAAGAAGTAACAAATAGAGGGAAATGCTAGAGAGAGAATAGAAAGGGTGTCATTCGAGGATAAAAGATGTTTTTAGGTAGTCATTAAAAGTTTTCCAACTTCTTGAAGAAGGAGAAAGCATTACTATTATCAATATTAGCTGAAGTATAAACTCTTGATCATAGTAAAAAATTAATCATTTGGACTTCTGCGGTAGAGAGGAAAGCTGAGCAACTGAAACATCTTCTCTTGTCTAGCTCCTCTTCACAGTAGATCATATTTTTTTCTCAGTTAGAGTAGTATCTTTATCAGTTTTTTCATTTTTGTATCTAGTGAAATCTGTTCATGCATCCTTTGTAAAGCTTACTGGATTATTTGATCTTTGTGTGGTGATGGATGTAGTCTTTCTTAAACTAAACTACATAAACACTGATCTTATTTGTTATTCTTAATCATTTTGTTAAAGCTAGTTTGTGACTCATTCTAATTGCTTCTGGGTTAAGAAACTTTTTTTCTTATCATTAACAACTCTTATTGTCAGGCTAATAGTGAGCACCCTATATCAAAGGCCGTAGTAGAATATACCATGAAGCTCCATTCAAAATATGGTTCTAGCAATGAACATGTAATCGATGCAAAAGATTTCAAGGTGCATCCTGGCGCTGGGGTGGGTGCTATTATTTGTGGAAAAGCAGTACTGGTTGGGAACAAAAAGCTTATGCTTGCTTCCAATGTTCTAGTTTCTAGAGAGGTGGATGAGTATGTAGCGGAGACTGAAAATTTAGCTAGAACCTGTGTGTTGGTTGCTATTGATGGTGAAATTTCTGGGGCCCTTGCCGTGTCCGATCCATTGAAACCTGAGGCAGCTCAAGTGGTATCTTTCCTTGCCTCAATGGACATAAAAAGCATTATGATAACTGGTGACAATCAGGCTACTGCTACTGCTATTGCAAGGGAGGTTGGCATCGATACTGTGTTTGCTGAGACTGACCCAGTTGGCAAAGCTGAAAGAATTAAGGACTTCCAGGTGAATGATTCCACCATCTGAAATTGTCCTAGTTTCAATTACTAATGCTCTATTTTTTATTTTATTGAAGGGGAAAGGATTGATTGTTGCGATGGTGGGTGATGGAATCAATGACTCTCTTGCACTTGCAGCAGCTGATGTTGGCATGGCTATTGGTGCTGGGACTGATGTTGCAATTGAAGCAGCTGATGTTGTTCTGATGAAAAGCAATTTAGAGGATGTTGTCACAGCTATTGATCTCTCGGGGAAGACTATCTCCAGGATTAGAATGAACTATGTTTGGGCACTTGGATACAATATACTAGCCATGCCTGTTGCTGCCGGCGCCTTATATCCATTCACGGGAATTCGCCTACCACCTTGGCTTGCAGGGGCATGCATGGCGGTCTCCTCAGTCAGTGTTGTCTGCTCCTCTCTCCTGCTGCAGTCCTACAAGAAGCCATTACGATTGGAGAACTATCGGAATCCTATGGAAAATGGAAATTCAGTATGAAATAACAATAACCGTTTGCATAACTAGTTTTAAGTTTTTCTTATGGCTATTTATTTCCTTCTCTTTCAATATTAGATTATTGAACTGCTTGTTCACAATTGTTCCTTTGTTTGACTACTGGGAATGTTGCATTGATTAAACTGAAGCCTGAATGATCATCAATGATAAGTGGATGTCTCTTTAACTTGGATAGATACAATATGTATTCAAATCATCTGTAAATCCTATTGTTTCATGAACTTTTGTTGCGGACATTGTTTTGTCTAGTTCATCTGTATCTTGTGTGTTAGAAGTACCCAGTACAAACTTCTTGTAACGGATTAAGTTTAATGAAATATGGGAAATGTGGGTCTTTGATCTGGCGTTGATGATTCCAACAATGAGTGCGTGTGGCGTGCTTTTTGTGTAGGCGTTGATGCGACCAGTAAGACTTATTAGTGGCTGTGGTGTGCTTATTTGGTGTTGGTGTCATTTGGCATCCGTTTCGTTTTCTGAAGTCGCTTTTTAGGCTTGTTCCGACTACGTTGTAAAACAATTGGCTCGCTTGAACCATAACTGTTTGCCCAAGAAGTCGATCATAGAGCAGTAGTGATTTAACGAATTCCAAGCGATTTCATTTTTGTTATTGTCTTGTGGTAATAATTATTGTAGAAACAAAATTTTTTATATATGATGTGCGAAGATAAATTTTGGTGATTTTGAAAATTTGAAGTAAATTAGTAGGACATTCATTTTTAAAATGAAGAGTGTAAATGTTAGTAAGGTTGACATTTGGTTTTTATTATTGATACGCCCCTAAATATTATCTTAATCAAGCACGAACCTTGATGCACATTGGAACCAAGAGCATTAAATATTTAATTATATATGCTCTTGGTAAGATGAAACGGATGATATTAATATATTTGGATCCAAGTTCAAGGGAGGCAACATCATTCATTTAAAGTATAGTAAGAAACTTTAAAATATATTTTGGGGATCAAATGGTCTCGAGATTTGATAAGTTTATGATTAAATCGAGCGTCTCGATGAGATGAATCGAACGAGTCTAAGATCACTTAATTCTAATAATATTACGACACTTAAATACTCATGAAACACGTTTCGATTAAAGGATCACTCTTAACTCCAATGAAGTTGTTAGAATCATGCAATATTTATAGAGGATGTTACTCATAAAATCTTAAAATAGACTACTCTATTCTTAAAGGAGGACTTAGACTTAGACGAGAAAGCTGAAGAAAGCTCTAAGATCTTACAAATTTCCAAGCTCTGCGCCACTGGACCACCATCATCAAGGCGTCGATGTTGCCAAACCACAGTGTGTTGGGTGCCGTCGGCATCATCACCACTATCTTTGAAAACCACCGCCACACCCTCCATCACCGCCGCATCACCACTACCTGACCACCACTGTCTCCATCACTGGACCATAGCTGCCTGAGTACTGTCACCGTCGGACCACCATTGCTTGGCCACATTTGTCAAACCACCACCATTCAGTCGACAATGCCACCATCGTCACTCAGTTGACATCGAGCCACAATCGTCATGTTAGGCCCGCACATCGGGCCACTATCGTCATGCTAGACCACCGTCTCTGGTTTACCGCAATTACTAGACCAACTCTGAGGCATAGCCTCCTTCAACATCAATTACTTTATTATCATCAACCAACCATCACCAAACCATCGCCTTCGTGGAAGACCACCATTTTTGGGCTACCTCTATAATTAGAAGACTGTCACACGACCAACATCAAGTCATCGTTGATATGTCGAAAAGCATGCTTAATTTTTAACATTTTCCACATGTTTATGGATGAAATTGCACTTTAATGAAATGTATTTTTATATTTTTCTTATAGGTACGATAGATAGTAGATGTGGAACAAAATGGCGAAGAAACTAAGCAAAGCAGAGGTGAAATAGAGCAAAATTGTCCCAAGTGGACTAGCACCTAGACGCCAACCTCTGGGCCCCAAGGCCCTGCAGCCCAAAGCCTTAGCGCCAATTTCAGCTTAAACATACAGAGAGCCTGACGCCTAGGCACCGACTTTGCAAGGCCTTGGGGTCAGCAACTGTTTTGCTATTTTTCAGTTGTTCCTTCGACAGTTATGCTGTGAAGATAACCGACCTTTAGTGATGTTTAGAGTAATTCTAGGAAACCTAAGGAGGAGAGAAGACCTCTGAACCCTAAGGGAAATTCTATGGGAAGACTAGAGTTCAATTTTAGCTTAGATTGCTTTTTATTTCAGAGTTTGGTGTGGATTTGGAGGGATATTGTTGAGAGGTTCTTCAGCAAGGCATCAAGGACTTAGGAGATCTTCTTGGGAGAGAATTCCAGTGCTTGGAAAGGGAAAAACCTAAGTATTGTGGACTCCTTTGTTTCGTAACTTTTTTTATACACAACTTTAGTGAATTGTTTTGTTTTAAAATGTGTTGTGGCAATTTTTCTATGCTTTGTGAGTAGTTCATTTTTACCTTTCCCCTTATGATGAATAAGTAGGTAGTGTAGAATGTTGAAATATTTTTAAAATTGATTTTTACTCTTAAGGTGAAAGTTTTCCTTCTATGTTTCATTTACTTATCGTTCTGACCAAATGGCTTGTTAAAGTTCATTGTAAACCCATAAAGACTCCGAAGAGCTATGACATGAACAACTAGGAAGAATCACATTGAATTATATGGTATGAAGCAAAAGTAACCAATAAGGAGATGCAATAGATAGGGATATACTCTTTGATGGGTTCAAATTGGGGTTTAAGGAATTAAAACCAGTTGAATGAAACTTATTTATTCACTTGGAAGAGGGTAATGGAGATAATTGCTCCTATTTGTCACTTACAAGATATTCAATTTATTGCATTCACTATCTACACATCTCTTATATCATTGCAAAGGGGAGGGTAAGCTTATCACATGATTTCCTCAAAATTTTAATAATTAGTAGAATTATTAATTAGAGTAAACCATTAGTACAACCTTAAAAATATAAAGACTTCTAAGCTAAGAGCTAGTTTAATAGGCTAGAACTTTTCTTAATATTGTAACACCTCTTTCCTGTGGGATCGACAGTTTGAACTAAAAAAATAT